CGCACGCTTTCACTGAAGTTACCTGGTGACTTCTGATCTACTTGGTAATCACACACCCACCGCCTCACAAAGCCGCTGATGACCACCCAGTGTGACAGGTCTGGGCTTGGGTGCAACACTGCGTCCCATCTGGACGACTACCAGTTTCCTAAATCCTCCAAGAAAACCGTAGAATTGCATAATGACCAACTCTGTTCCTTCCGCTTACACATCCGGTAATCTGTTTGAAGCTTTAGACGCAAGTTGTTAAGTGCAATTTAGAAGGCCAAGAAAAGCAAGCGGATCCACCCCTCTCCTGGGCAACCCCGCGCATCTCCTCCGTGCTGTCCCCTCTCCTGCACCCCCATACCTTTTGGGAGCGGGGATCCGCGCCCCTTGTACCGCGCGCAGAAGCTCAGGAATCTGCAGACTCACGTTTTAACTGTGTCACTAACTTCTAACAAACTACTTCGCTTCCCGAACCAGGCCTGGTTTGGGACTGAGTTCGGGTGACCTTGCGGTTTCCCAGGATCTGCAGGGGCAAAGTCACTCGGAGCCCTGCGCCCGCGCCCCTCCGGAGCCTCTCCTCGCGGGGACCTAGCGACCCTCTACTGCCGGCAGTTACCTGGTCCAGCAGCCGGTAGACACTGAGGCCCGAGGCATTCACCAGCAGCTCCCAGTCGGTCCCGGCCAGAGCCGGCTGCTGGAGCAGCTCAGCGCAGACCTCCTGGAACTGCTCCTCAGAGAAGCAGCTGGCAGCAGACGCCATCCTCCCTCACCCTCCGCCTGCCCCGAGCGCGCGCCCCAACTGCCTCGGCCTGAGTTTGAGGGCAGGTGACCAGATGGCCTCAGTGTGATTGGCAGCGAACAGAGCAGAAGGCGGGACTTCGGCGGAAGGCGGGGTCTAGAGGGGTGGGTCTGAGTGGGTGGGCCTTGCAGTGGGAGGGGCTGAGCTGGGCAAGGCGCAAGGAAGATGGAAAAGATAAAACTAAAGGAAAGTTGATTGATGAGGAGAAGGAAAAAGAGGTTAGGGAAGAGCGAGGGACTTGTAGGCAACAAAAAGGGAAGACACTGATGTCAGTTCGGAAAGACTTCCTCAGGAGCCCTTTCCATACTCCGCATTTGTACTCCAAACTTTGTAGGATGTGAAGTGTCTTTGGTAGACTTGAGAAAGAAGGGGACAAAAAAAAAAAAAAAAAAAAAAAAAAAAAAAAAAAAAACGCTTGGACATCTCAGGACTCAGATGCTAGAACTGGAGTTTAAAACAATTTCTCTTCTTCCTGTTATGCATTCAAAAATATCACTCCAAAAAGGGATTTATGAGATTCATCAGAAGGGCCAAGGCCCGAAAAGCAGTTCAACTATTTAAACCATAAGGGATCTGCAAGCTTGTTTGCCATATTGAAGGGTCAAAGCAAGACTTGAAAGGTGTTGTGCAGGACTTCTGCAGCTTGCACCATTGATTGTTTAGTTATTTATGTATTTATTTTCATTTTTGGTAGTACCAGGGATCAAACTCAAGACTTTGCACTTGCCAAGCAGGCGCTTATGCCACTGGGCTATCTCCCCAGCCCAGCCTGCACAATTTAAATCTTTGTGCAATTCAACCTTTTGAAGTCCTTTGGGTATTACTGTATTTCTCATTAGAAGATTACACACATATATATGTTATATATTATTTATTTATTTATTTTTTAGGTAGTGTCTAAATTCCAAAGTGGTACAACTACCACATGGAGGCCAGTAAACTGGAAATACTTGTTTCCTAATCTGTGAAGTGGGTCGAGCGGTGCTACACATGAGGCAATTGGACATACAGTGTGTCTGCACATCACCCATCCAAGTAAATAGTCAATGAGAGTTCGTGCTTCTTCATGATACTGTATTGAAATCTCACTCTTTCTGTGCTTGAAAGGACAATGATACATTTGCACCTATGCCGCTTCATAGGAAGGGACACAAGATCATGTCTCGCAGTTTGTTTGGACACAGCAGAGCTAAGTCACTGCTTTATTTAATCCCACACTAGTTCTACTTTGTTGCATGGAGTGGAAGAAGGGAAGTGGAATTTTCCAAGTATAAATGCACAAAAGATCAGAGAGATTCTTTCCTACTGTGTTTATAATACTGATAACTTTTCTCTTGTTACTAAATACTTATTAAACTAAAATCAATTTCTTAAGAAAGTAATTTACGTTGAAAATATTAGCTTTGAGTCTTTCCAGATATTCTCTTGGGATCCATTATAAAGCTGTGCTTTGATGAAACTGCGGCTGTGTCACCATGTAGCAATAGCAAATAAGACCTGAGAATAAAAGTAGCATCATATAAGATATAAGATATAAGACACAAAATTCAAGTTTCATCTCTTCCTTATGTTTAAAATCATATAAAATTCAGGAAAAAGTCAAATATACTCAGACATACTGAGATTTACAATCTGTTTATTTTATAGTAGTTAGTGCAGGACAGAATAATGTTAAGAAGTGGCTTTAACATTTTTTTTTTTTAGCCAGAAAGATCTAGAAATGATTTGGACAAGATTTCTCCTTGGATATTTGCCTTAATAGGCCAGCCTGTTTCCTTTATTAAAAAAAGAACAAGCAAACTAAAACCTTCTGGAACTTCTTTCCACATGGCAGCCAAAGCCTTACATACAGAAAGGCTGGATAGAAATGTACTCTGTCAGTCAACTTTCCAACCAGTGATAAAATGCCCAAGAAAAGGAACCTAAAAGTGGGAAGATTTATTTTGGCTCACAGTTTCAGAGACTTTATCCCATGGCCAGATGAGTGTGCTTTTCAGCTCCGGCAAGGCAGAAGCATCATGGTTGAAGGGTGTGACAGAGTGGATCTGTTTTCCCCAGGACATCTAGGAAGGAAAGAGAAGAAAGAGCTAAGGAGGAGAGAGGTGGAGACCAGAGGCCATCCCCAAGGGCACAGCTCCATAATCCCGCCCTTCAACCATATCAGACCTCCTAAGTTTCCATTACCCCCATGAATGTCACCAAAGTACAAATCTATGGATGGGCTGATCCACTGATGAATTCAATTCATGATTCAATCACCTTCTGAAGCCCCACCTCTGAACACTGCTGTGTTAAGAAGCACACCTTCAACACATGAGCCTTTGGGCTGGGGTAGATTTTTTATTTTGTTTTCATTTTGTTTTTATTTTTTTAAGTATACAAAATAATGATTGAAAAATAGCATTAGAAACAATACAAAACTTTGCTAAACAAAGTAGTAGGAATTCAACAATGGTTGCTGTATGGGAGAATGCTTTAACAGCAATTTGTAACACATACCCAAATATCTATCTATCTATCTATCTATCTATCTATCTATCTATCTATCTATCTATCTATCATAACTTAAAATAGGGGCACAGCAGACTTCAGAAAACAAAAAGAAGTAATGAAAACCAGAGACACAAGAACCTGGGTAGTCTTTGAGCGAATGACTTCATCATCACTGGCCTATGGTTTTCTTGAGGAACTTCCATTGGAGTAAAATGGTTTCACTCGTACACTGAACTTATAAGGCAAAGCAGGGTGGTTTAAATGGTTGGTGAGTGGAGGTAAAGAGGCTACTAGTTATAACTGGCTCAGACCCTTTAATATCAGATGATAGTCATGAGTGCCCAGGATGTGCCACCAGAAACTAAGATAGCAGAATGCTGTCATTCTGTTGCTGCTAAAGACCTAAGCTCTATTCTTCAAACAGCTTTCTTGTAATAAGGTGAAAATGCTCATCCACTATGGTCTTCAGCATCTATCTCTAAATTGATTCAGAGTGCAGGTAAGGAGAAGTGTGGATGTGGAGCTTCCTAAAAATCCCAATGGACAGAAATACCAAAAGCTTCAGGCTGAGATTCAAGTACTCATACATGAGCTGAAGACACAGGTCTGGGCCATGACTTGCAGTGAAGATGGATGAGAGATATCTTCGTAGAGATTCAATCCTCTAAGATCTATCATTGCCATTCAAGCATCTGAGTCCTTGAACTATGGAAACTACAAGGAAGTTTATGCTCTTCTTCAAATTAAAAGAAATTAAAAATTACCTAAACCTATGCCAGAGATAAGATAGAATTCAATTGTTTTTAATGTGTTTTGTACAGGGTCTCAAAAAGAGGTAATGAAAACCAGAGTACAAGTACTCAGCTTGTACTCAGAGTGATCTTCCTGTTTTTAGCCTTCCCAGTGCTGGGATTACAAGTGTGCACCATCACTCCTGGGCTCAGTACCTGGCTCAGCATGCCCAGGGATGGTCCCTGCCCTTGTCTAAGCAGGCCCCTAGTCCTCTGAGCTACCTCACTGGCCTAATTGAAAATTATATTGCTTACAAAATATGGGATCCACAAGAAGATAAATTAATGTAAACCCAAAACCCAGGGGTTCAGGGCCTTTGAACCCCTGGGATCCACTCCTGGGATCCTTCCAGAATCAAAACCAGGGACACTTTCTCAACCTGGATATGTGGACTTAGCACTGAGAAGATAAATTTGCAAAAAGTAAGTGGATCTAAAGAACAGTGCTATAAAAGAAAGTATAAATATTAATCTAAGAGGCATGAAGAATATATGAAAAATGCCTCAGGTTTCTGACTAGAGTTCCAAAAGAAAGCTAAACAGAAATCTGAAGAGGTGGGTTGGTAGTGGTGGGAGAGAAATAGAAAAAAATAAAAGTGGAAACAAAGAATAACTAAAATTCTTGGCACATAGAAGAAAGTAAGGTCAAAGTTTTGTTTACAATATAGATAAGTGATATTGATTAGTTTTAGCATTGTTTTGTTTAATGTGAATGTGAAACTGAAGGGTATGAATGGTCAAAGCTCAGAAGAAAACAAACTACACAGAAGAGTGGGCAAAACATTTGAATTCACACTTCTCCAGAAAACTAGTGCTAAATAAGAACATGAGAAGAGGCTCAACATCATTAGTCCTGAGAGTGATACAAATTAAAATCACAAGTACCATTCTGTACCTATTTAAATGGTGAAAATGAAAAAAAGTTATCAAAGCAGGTGTTGGCAAGGATGTGGAGGAGCTAGAACTCACACACATTGCTGGAGGAGTCTAAAGGATATAAACACCCTGGAAAACTATTCGGCAATTTCTTGAAACATTAAATATACACACATCACACAAGCCAACATTTCCACTGCGTGATAGTCACTCAACAGATGAATCACAGAATGGTTTCAACAGATTTATACACAAATGTTTACAGAGGTTGTATTAGGTAGAAACTGAAAACAACCCAAATAACCTTCAAGGAATGAATGGATAAATCAAGTTTTGATATATCCATCAAGGAAATACTAGGCAACAATAAAATTTAAAAGATGAAAGTGTGGTGTGTGCGTGTGTGTGTGTGTGTGTGTGTGTGTGTGTGTGTGTAGCTAGCTCTGGGCTATAACATGATGTAATTGCCCGGAAGAAATGGAATTCCCTGCAAATTCATTATCAATGAACACATCCTACGATCAGATCTTGCCTGCTATCTATTATTTCATACTAGAAGATTCTTGGAAAAAACAACCAATTGCAGATATAAAGCAGAGAAATTTTAAGGTAATCCACTGACATTTAAGATGCTCAAGTCCTAGTGGATTCATGACAAAACGATATAAAAGTGGGCTTGGGTGAGCTCTTATTGGTCAATTTTGATATATATACATAAGACCAGAAAATGATAATGACAATGGTAGACTATAGAACATTAGTTTTAAAAAAATCTGTGTGGCCATAATAACACTTTTAAAAGACAACAAGGAAAATGAATGTATGCAAGGGAGAAAAATATCTCTTTGGATAAGAATATT